CCAAATTTGAAACTATAGAAAAGCTTAAACCATAGAATATTGGAAATATTAACTCAGTTTCATGTGAATGTTTGAACCAATCACAGTCAGTCATAAGTGAGATCATCAAAGAACTCATATTGTACTTTCTTCTAGGTTTCACTGATAGACAAATAAGAAGAATTTTATTCCAACCTTTTTCTGTATTCCATTTCAAAAAACAGCTTTGTTAGGGACATTTTATATATCATAAAATCCATCCTATTTAACTTTATTGGGTGATGTAACCATATTATTTAGAGATAAGACTGATGTTCTATACATGTGGAATACATGCATGAGTTTTGTGAATGATTGATAGGAAAATGGTTTTCCCTCTGAAAATAAAGAAGGGGTTAAAATGAGATACAGGAGCCACTTTGGAAAACAGTTCAGCAGTTTCTAAAAGGTATAAATGCACCATCACCAGGAATTCCACTCCTGGGTATCTACCAGAGGACAGTGAAAGCCAACACAACGATTTGCATTTAAATATTTACAGCTGCATTATTCATGGTATCCCAAAGCTGGAAACAACCTACATGTCCATCAACTAGTAAATAAAGTGCGACATGTCCGTACAGCATAGTTCTTTTTAATAATAGGAAAGGGAAAACAACCAACACACATGAGAACATAGATGAAAAAGTTTCAGAGGAGGCCCCACCTCAGTTGAATCCTGGAAGCTATATACAGGAATGAGATCGCAGGGGTAATGTGCCCCAGAGAGCAGCCAGCAGCCTATCATGCCATGCGGCACACTCTTTTTTCCAGATCAGCTTCACTTTTTTTCCCATGGCAATAATTGTCTACCATGCTGTGTAATTTATGTGTTTACATGTTGAGCTCGTCTGTTTTCCCTGGAGAGCAAAGATTTCTAGTTTGTTCACTGACATATCCCACGTATCTAGCACAGTGCCCAGTATGAAGAGGGTGCTCTGTGAATATTTGTTGAATAAATGACTGTGGAGAGCCCTGTAGGTGAATGGGAGCAGAATGCTTAGGGGAGATAAGATACAGGTGATTTCTGACATGAGAGAGAAAAATCAGCAACCTTTATTCCCCTCTCCAACACTTTAACTCTAATGGTTTCATAAAGTGTGCATTTAGTGCTGGCTAAAGACAGAAAGTGTACATGATGCTCCACTGAGATGAAGGGGACCAGAGATGCTGGGGAAAGTGGGTGGACTGAATTAGAACAAAGTACTGTGTGCTTCAGAATCAAAGACTGGATTTTTTAAGACAAGTTCGTACAATGTCTACCAAATGACTTGATGTTTCTGGAAAGATGGAGGGTTTTTTTTTTTTTTAAATTACATTAGCAGTCAGAGGAAAGTTTGTAGGTACAAATACATACTGTCAAGTAACTTTTTAGAAAGTTAGAAGTCATTAAAGGGGAAGGATACCATTCAAGTAAGTTATTTTAGTTAATGGAGCAGACAACAAGGATATGAAAAGGGTAGGAGGAGGAAAAGGAGGAGGAAGAGAAGAAAACTGTCACTCTCTGAGGATTTGCCCACTGTGATTGTCATTTTCGAGACATTTTTTTGCAAGTCAAATAAGCAAGGACCATTTTTGACACAGTTGTCTGTGACTCTGAATATAGCTGGAATGTCTTCAGAATAATGAAAAACATGCCTCTGCTTATAAAAGGAAGATTTACGGGAGAAACACTAAAATGACTCCTCCAAATTTATCTGGGATCTCATTTGAAGGAATCACAGTCATCTCCATCATGCAGAAAAGGAATTCACCCAAATGAAGATTTGTAATTTATCTTTTACATGGATTTATTGTTTAGAGATTAATCATGCCACAAATTGGGTGTCCATTCTAATTGAGCCAATAGAAGTATTGTTTCTACTTTTTCTGTTTATTTTTGGTTGAGCAGAGGACAAGGACATTGGAAAAGATGGAACTGTGGAATGAATTAGGGTATGTCCTAGGGCTTGCTGCTCAGTCACTTAGACTTTATTCCAGAGCAATTGGGAACCATGCAGGGCTTAATTAGAGCAGTGACATGAAGACAACTCATGATATAAAGGTTTGCTGTGGTTGTAGTTTGGATTCTAAGTTGAATGGAAGGAGAGAATTAGAAAAAAGGAAAATAGTTTAGGAGGTTTTTTCAGCAACTCAAGGAAAAGTTAGTGGTGGTCTGAAGGAGATGGTTGGTAATATGGTTAACGGATAAAAATCTGTGACAGGTGAAGCAATGATTCAATTTTGTGTTTATTTACAAGAATTCTGAGAAGAGGATTGTCTTAGTCCATTTTCTATAACAAAGAAAAGAGGATGCTTATTTAGTTCAGAGATCTGGAGGTTCAAGACATGGTACTTGTATCTGTGCAGCTTTGCCACATGCTGGTGAGAAGTGGAAAGGGAAATGGTGTGTGCAAAAGAGGCCAAGCCCCATAACAACTCAGTCTCTTAGCAACAAATCCTGTCCGGAGAGAATGTGTGCCACTCTTGTGAGAACTGCATTAATTTCTCTTAATAACCTACTTACCTCTTAAAGGCACCAATACCATCACAATGCAAACTAAACCTCAGCATGAGACAAATAACATCTAAACCATAGGTGGGATGGAATGGTTTGGAATGACTCCAGATCTCCCCCCCCCCTTTTTTTTTTGGCACCTAGTATTGTTTATTGGAGCAGGAATGTTAGGGAGTAAGACTATGACTTCAGGTTTGGATTAGCCACTTTTGAGGAGCGCGTGGAATACCTACGTGAATAGGTACACTGCATGGTTAGAAACTCCAGGGTTGAGTCCCAGTTTGAGGTATGTGTTTTGGAAACACGTGGACAATGATGACACATGAAGCCATGGGAATGTCTGATCAACCATCGGGAGTACTAGAATGAGAAGAGTATAGCTCTGTGGACAGAGCAGTGGGGAACAGTGACATTTAAAAATCATGCAGGAGGAGGAGACCCCATGAAAGAGAGGAAGAAGCAGTTCGAGGAAAGGGGGCCAGCAGCACTGTGCTCTGAGAAGCCAAGCTAGGAGGCCATTCCAGGTGAGAGGGAGTAGCTCCAGAGTTCAATCAAGTGATGACTGGAATGGTTGGATGGGATTTAGCATCTGTGTTACTGGTGTTCCTGCCTCTACAGTTTTTCTGGAACACTGAGCATAAACATGAATGGGAGGAGGAAGTAGAAACAAATGGGGAGTATAAATGATTTTCTATTTAAATAAATTACTGGAATTTACCTAAAATACTTTGGCAAAACATTGATTTTTTTTAATTTGGAAGGGAATCATATAATATAAAAGTGAACAGGTCAGTGACAATTTAGTATATTCACAATGTACAAACCTCCTTCTCTGTCTTGTTTCAAAATATTTCCCTTATCCCCAAAAGAAACCCCAACCCTTTGAGAAGCTGCTTTGCTTTCCTCATTCTCCCAGTGCCTGTAAACTATCAGTCTGTGTTCCGCTTTTATGGAGTTCTGTTTTGAATTTTTCTGATAAATGAAATATATACTATGTGACCTTTTCTGTCTGATTTCTCTCAGTATGTTAAACATACTGTTTTCAAAGGCCATCAGCATAGCGTGTATCGGTACGTCATGATTTGTTTATCCATTGTCTATTGATGGCATCTGGGTTGTTTTCACCTTTTGGATGCTGTAAATAGTGCCGCTGTGAGCATGCATGTACATGTACTTATCTGAGTGTCTGCTTTCAATTCCTCTGGAAGATCTCTAGAAGAGGACTCGATCGAGCTTCACTGTTTTTCAAAAGTATACTTTTCTATAATGTGAACTGAGGATCCACAGGAAGCATTGTATAAATAGTTAATGTATACATTTTATGTTCTTTGAATACTGTATATTGTCTTTGGAACAGGATAGGTGTGGTAATTAAGCATCTCATCAAGAGATAAGTTGCATAAGGAGAAGAATTCAATAAATTGAGTCATGCAGGGCAGAAGATGGGGAAAGGTTGAATATTTCATAGTTTATTTTCCTGCAGAAGAGAGTATTAGCTGCTCTCTTACTGTCAATGATAGAAAATGACAGAATGACAAAGTGAACCATGAGCGCCCATAGTACAAATTTAATAGCCAGCTGACTTTTAAAATTAAGATGATATTTTCAATATAAATTTATATTCATTTCCAAGTAAGCATTGATTTAGTTATGTGTAGATGAAAGGAGATTTGAGGTTCCATTTATGTCATTCTAGCCTCCTGTTGGGTCATTTATACTTTATTCATAAAATGTACATTAACATATTCACAGAGAGGTGGGGGATATTTACATTTCCTATGGAATTTTTGATTATTTAAAGCAATGTTCATTCTTTATCTCAACAGCCTCATTTTCTCCTGAAGTCTTTCCTCTATAGGAATCAGTTATGGAACTGGAGTTTTGGAAGATGTGTTTTTGTGATTTAATTCCTAAAATACTGCCTACAGACTTGGGCAAGGAGATAGTTTGTTGAGTATCTTTTTAATATTTTGCTTATCTGCACTCATTCAAGTTACACAACCAAGACGAGCTAGATCATACATCTGATAACTCCCAAATCAGGGTTCTGTCTACCATAGCAAGGATGCTAATGAACTTTTATCGTATGTGCTTGTGGCTTAGCAGAATAGTAAGATGAGAAGGATGTGGAGGACGACTACGAGTTCAGCAGGAAGTAGGACTCTGAAGAGTTTGTTTCCCTTTGTGGGTTCCACGAAGACAGGAAGGGAGCAGAGGCCAACCCTGTGCTTGTCATACATTTGCCATCCCTAAGCTGTGTCATGTCACTTAATGAAAAGATTCTGGGAGACTTAAGAAAATATTGTTTTCTCTCATAAATGGTGTATCTTGGGATAAGCCCATGGTTACTTAATGCTGCTTCAGAGATGTGTCTTTTGGTTTGACCTCATTTCATTGTACCATTCATATTCTATGTGTATGACCTCAATAAATCATCCCTAGGCTTGATGCATTTATTTCTATTTGTGATATGCGTTTGTTTCAGGCAGAGAAAGCTGATGGATTTGTCAACCTTCCTGATTTCAGTGTGGAAAGAGCATCTGAATGCAAGAAAAAGCAGTAAGTTGTCTTTTACACCCCACAAGCACTGAGCCAGATCACATACATTGGTAATGCTCAGCTAGTGATGTGGCAGTTTGGAGTGAGTGGAGGTAAAGCTCAAATGCCTGAGCGTTTTGGTCGTTCTGGGTTGCTACCTTAAATACTTATACGAATATTTTAACTTCTCATTTCCTGGCCTGTCATTCATGGCACAGATGGGTTATAAAGCCTCCCTGAAGTCTTGGCACAGACTGTTGTTGATGACTGTGTCTGGGATAGAGTGTAAACATGTTCCCATCGAGAATGGAAGGGGGGTCAGATGTCAAGGTGTTGACACTGTAAAAAGAACAAATAGTTAAATGGTGCTCACCGGACAGAGTTTCAGACAAGAGAGCGAGACCAGTTCATTTTAGCTCATGGCACTGTCCATAGAACCCCTGGGAATGAATTCTCTGAGAAGTCTTGGGCTTGGGATTATATCCTGATATTGTTCACGTCCAAAGGATTTGAGAACCATCAGGAACAAAGCCCTCTCCAGCTCATGGTCCTTGTTCCATAGAGAACGAAAGAGCATGGAGTGTCTGTGAGCAGCCTAGGGCCCAGTGGAGAGCTGGCTCTGCACCCTGGGCTCGTGGTCACCTGCTCTCCACATGAGACTATCCTACTGTATTTTGCATTCATGTCTTTTTCACCTTTTCCTTATTATTTCTTCTACTTTTGATATCTTTTACAGTTTTATCAGAAATAGGCATTTCCCTATTGAGATATGGTACTGATTTTCTTCTAAGAAAATTTAAAAACTGGTGTTGGCTTTAATTCTTTGCTACTCTGGTATAGCAGCAGGTGTCTGATGAGTCATGGGTTGTGTTGATTCTTGCGGTGTTTGGCTATTTGAAAAAACTGTGTCCTCTCCTACAGGACTTCCGGTGTAAATGGTAAAGTTGATGGACTTTCTGGTTTATTATTTTTAATGCTTTATTTTTTCTTTTAAACTAAAATCCACCTTGTATTTTTCCTTTACTAATACAGAGTACCTTAGAAATGGTTTCTGATGAGTTGTTCTGGTGTGGAAGCTCCAGACCACATTCTTTTCTTATCATAATATTTTGCTGTACATTTGATTATGTAGTTGGCTTGAAGGAGTTGATCTAAATGTTGTGAATTGACACCTCAATGACTCTAACTTTTAGTTTATTGTATCTTTATAGTAAAGCAGTTAGCAATGAAAATAGTATGCCCATATGTTTTAAATGGAAAATATTGACTAGCTCAGACTCCATCTTGACATAATAAATTGACCTTCAGTTCTTATATGAAACAGAAACTAGATAACAGGTATTTAATGTGACAATTATTTTTTGTAAGTTCACAAAGAAAGCAGACAAGCTTACAATGCTTAACATTTGACTGATACTTTCAGACTCACTGATGACTACAAACACTAATTCTTACGTGTTTGTGTTTTCTGCCTTTTAGTGCTTTTAAGATCAACCATCCGCAGATCAAGACCTTTTATTTTGCAGCTGAAAATTTACAAGAAATGAATGTGTAAGTAGGATAAATTGGTAAATCCAATTATTATGTGAGTAAATTTACTTTGGTCAGGCATTAGAATTTTAATCCAATGTTCCTATTAAATTATTATTTTATCTATTTCTGTTATCTTAGGGATTAATTTCTTTAGCTGTTATAAAGGCTCCTTGCCTTCTCTAGTAATTTGGAGGCATTTTTGAGAACTACACATATTTAAAAGTCTGTTTTATGAAAAGTTGTAATGTTCTTCTGAGGGAATCACTAATTTGAGAAAGGAGTAGACAGAAGTCATGATAAGAAAATGCTAAAATGAGAATCGCTATCACAAGGAGAAAGACGAATGCATTATGGAACTGATCTCACAGCTTCTCACGTGCAGTCTGTCTCTGCAGCTTTCAGTGTGTGCTGCGTGGTCATCATGAGGGCTCATGGACTCCTGCCTCTCCACGAATCATCCTTAACATGTGTAAAATGCCCTTGTGCAGAGTATATCTGGTTTAAAAGTTACACCTCTAGCTCCACTTTCTGCCTCCTCTGTTTAAGTCTGGGCACTCTTCCAGGTCATTCCTGCCTGGTTCAGACTAAGGTGTATTACAGTGGCTGTTATTTGAATGAGGCTGACTGTGAGATGCTGACTTGAGGCATCAGAGCCTAAGTCTTAGACTTCTCGGTGTCTCTTACTACCTTCATATAGCCAGTTAAAATATGTCTATAGAACAGCTATCATGTGCCCCACTGCAGAAGATGATAGGCAAAAGCAATGCACACATGTGCTTGATAACGTTCAGGGGTGGAAGGGGGTGGCCTTAGAGTGACGGGTTCTGTCTTAGACGTTCACCTCCTTGGGTAACCGCGTTTCTGGGTGGTGACATTTCTCTCAAGGATGATGAAAATAAAGGTAATTAAGTTTAACATGTAAGAAACTTTACATGTTCTGCAGTGATTCTCACAATTTACAAGAACTGGGGTAAGCAATTAATGGTAATGAAAGAGTTGGTTTCCCAGAAAAGATGGGAGGTTGTTGCCTTTCTCTGACAGTGTTTGTGGGAAAACGTTCTTGTTTTACACATCCATTTTCTAGCACTTGTGCTTCTCCAACACACACATTTGCGTTGAGTTAAAATACAACAAACTCCCAGGAAACATCTGTCATCTATTTTTATATAAACATAAGTCCTTTTGTGCCTCCATCTACTCAGCCACAAAGGGAAATTTTTGTATTGCTACAGTATTTACAAAAGTTGTTAGCAAAGGAGGTACTGTAGGCTGATGGAATCTACAAAGAAAACTGTCAAACAGTTGAGACAGTCGCCAATTTCTCACAGCAAGTATTGGTGGCAAAGAGAAGGACATGGGTTTGGGGTAAGGGCTGAGAGAACTCTTTTATTTATTGTCAATACCCTTCCACTTTGCTAGATTTTCATGTATTGGAAAGGAGCTTAGAGATGCCTTTTCTTATTTCTGGTACCCCCAATGCAAGCTATTATTCTCTCTCTCTTTTTAATTTGCCCATTTTACTTTTGGATACTTTTTATGGGGTAGCGCCAGCTTACACAATTATGAAATCAGGTATAAGCTAAAAATTATTATGGTATTTTTAAGGTGAACTATGAAATTTATTGTTTTTCCTGATCCATTGTTTAAAATGTACTTGTGTTTCTTTTAGTTAATACATTAATCATTCTTATAAAAATGGGATCACATAGAAGGAAAAAATGAGAGCCATCCCACACCCCTTCCAATTTAACTTCTTCCCCTAGGGTTAACCACTTTTAATAGTATGATGTATATCCTTTCTGACCCTTACCTGTGCTTAGCGATTTATGCACATATACCAATAAATAATTTTTAAAGTACATTAGAACAGGCTAAACATATTGCTTTATGCTTGTTCCTTTCAATTAATACTGTGTTAAGATTTTTTCCAGATCATTACAACTCCCCTGCCTCAGTATTTTTATTAGCTTCATTATAACATAGAATCAATGTCATATTTATTTATCCGTTTTATTATTAAGGGACAATAGTATTGTCTGAATGTTTTTTCTTTCTGCTGTTATAATCCTTGTTGACAGTTAACATTTTACCATATTTATGTACTTGAAGATACCTTCTTGTAAGATAGATATTCATCATTGTAATTATTGGGCAAAGAAAGTTGATATTTGAATTTGAAGAATATCATCGAATTGCTCAAAATTTTCACGATGAACTCAGTAGTGGATGAAAATGTTTATTTTTTCATTTTCTCCTTAGAAATCAACCATATTTTTAATGTTTGCCAACAGAGTGATGAAAACTACTCTCTTGTGTTTAGATAAACATTTCCTAAAATACTATTGAGGCTCAGAATATTTTTCCATATTGTGTTTGCTGCTTAAGCCACTATTGAATTGTCTCTTTTCTTACACAAATAAATATACAACATGGAATATTTAAAAAAATACAGAAAACTAGAAATAAGTGAGAAATAGCTCACCTAGATATTGACTGTCTCAAAACAACATTTTACCTTTAAGGATAAGATTCTATGTCTATAGGTATATGAGATAGACACATTTTGGTTCTTATCATTTGAAATATTGTGATTTGAAATGTGTTCCTAAAATCTTGAGAAGGAACTACAGTGGCTTGAAATTATAAGCTACGCTTGAGTTCTTTTGACTTATGTAGTTCTATTTTTGTATTGATGTTTAATTGGAATTCATTATTAATAAAGTGATAAATCATTAGCAAAATAATGATAAATGATAAATCAGTTGACAAATGAGAACCTTGTCAGTTTTTTACCTGACATAATTTTTTTGAGGAATTAAAAATTTCCCTAGTTTAGGAATGTCTGTCAACCCCTAGCCAGATCTTTTACTGATTGGCTTAAAAATCTTTCTGGTTTTAAAATGGGTGTTCTCTAATATCTTTAGAAATAAATTGGCACTATTAAGAATGATAGAGATACAGCTTTAATTTAATATCATTTACCAAATTCAATGATAAATGTTTTGATGATTGCTAAAAGTTTCAAATTTGTAATTACACAAGAAGATATACTTGTTCATATCTTTAGAATATCTAATTTATCTGCTCAGGTAAACCAACCAGACAATGGCTCTTCTCACTTATCTTGCAAAGCATACCTTGAGTAAGGAGAGCAAGGGAATTAAACCAGTGGTCTTAGGTTTCAATGCCATACATTTGTGCTGTTTGTGGAAATGTTTATACTAACGGTGGAATTAGGACTTAATTTCATTATAAAGTCTGGCTGAGACCCTTCAATATCTATGGGAAAGATGAGTGAGCAAGGGTCCAATCTCCTTGGTCAAACATTTACTTTCTTTTTGAATCTTAGGTGGTTAAATAAACTTGGATTAGCTGTAATCCATCAAGAGTCCACTTCAAAGGATGAAGGTATGTCTATTTTTCATTTCTGAGAATTTAGCAAAAGTATTAGAAGAAGATGGAAAAATGCAATGTCAAGTTCTATGTATAGTCTGATCCAGATGAAACACAGTTTGGCATTTGAAATGATCTGAAACATAGAGACAGACATATTCACACGACTCACTGACATGGGTTAGAGCCTCCTGTGCCAGCTCTGAATGATTTTGCACTTCACCCACACGTGAGCAGCTGTGGGCTTCACTGATAGTCAAACAACTGCCAGTGCAAATGTTTTATTGTTGTACTTACTGAATTCTTACTCACAGACGTGAACTTTTCGTGATCTAGTCAGATAATTCCACCCCACTATTTCCTCTAAGATATTTTAATATTTCCGCCAAGTGTATGTTGAGACTAATTTACCCTGACTAAAGGTCAGATCGCAACACATGTCATAATTTTAGCTCATTCTGTAGCTCTCAGGGTTCAAAAGCTGCAAGAGTCTACTTCCTAATGATACAGTTATTCCTCAGTGTGGAGAAGAAGGAGGCTTTATACTATTGCTGAAATGCTGAGCATACGTAACACTTGGGAATTGGAATAAGGAGTTAAATCTTTTGATAACAAAATCCTAAAAATTTAAATTTAGAAATAGAAAAGTGGCAAGTTGAATCAAAACAGCAGACAAGTTCAATTTAATAGTGTGAAATCAGTGACCTAGCCATCTTTTTGGTCCTCTTTCCTATAAAATAAGCACACATTGGATTATAGATTGGGGAGGGGAGAACTATGCAATGAAAAAAAATTTTTCTTCTTCTCATCCTGGTATTTAAGACCTTCGATGATATGCGCCCCCTCAAACCACTTTCTTTGTCTTTTCCCATATCCTCCAGGGATTTCCATATATATCGCTCAGCCTGCTCCCTCAGCCTGGTGCTCCTTACTCCTTTGTACACCATTGATTGTTTAGTTATTGGGCCAGAGTCAGCCCACTCAGCTCATTATAATTCCTACATCAAACATAATCACTACTGACTTTATGCTCCCTTAGGATGTGACTCACACCTCCTTTGAGCAGTTACTTTATTTCCTCTGAGCCGGGGTAAAACCTTTTCTTATTTGTTGGATGCTGTTTTATGTAACTCCTTTGTACTAAGTGGTTCCCTAGATTCACACTTTCTGAATTGGGTTGAAATTTCAATAGCCATATGGAGAAAAACCTCTGCTCCTTATGGATTAAGTGATGACAGTGTTCAAATATTAAACATTTTCATATTTGTTATAGAATGCTACAGTGAAAGTGAGCAGGAAGATCCTGAAATGACTGGGGAGACACCCCAACCTCCTTACTCTTCTTCGACTTCCTCTCCTTTGGTATGTACAGACATGAGTAGTCTGTTGGTCATTGATCACATGTGGGGACATCACTCCTTCCCATTAGACAGAAACTGCCTTGACCGATAAATTTTTAGAATAATCTAAATTAAGGCAGCTGCCAAAGAACAAGTGCAGTTCTCAGGGTGCTGATTTTGAGCCTTCTCCATAGCAACACCTCCTCCCCCGACCCTGCATGACAAGTATGGCATGTTTGTGCGTGACCCACAGATGGATCCTGCTCAGAGGATTCATGGAAATGAAAAGGAGTTCTATGTGACAGCCAGTGCTTGTAAAGGCTTGTTTTGTAACGTTAATTTATACTCTACTTGTTCTCAGAAAGAATTTACACTGCCTTGCTTAGCTCTGTGTACTACAACAATGGAAAATGAATGCTAAGGGGATAAAAATGAAAAGAAAAGGGTTAGAAAGACTGGAAGCCAGTTTTTTAAAATTACATATGGCATGATTTTGTGTATTCACTAGAGAGGAATCCAAATTTCACTCTAAGCTTTGTAGTTCAGGTTATTAATGGGTGTTAGGGATGCAGAGTTGCTTCATGTTTGAATGGATGGCTGTAGAGAGGGTCAGACAAGGATCATTGAAAATGGAGACTTAAGTGTTTGTTTTTTGTTTTGTTTTTTTGCCAGGCTGGCCTGGAATTCTCTATGTAATCCAGGCTGGTTTCCAAATTTGTGATCCTCCTGCCTCTGCATTTTGAGTAGCTGGGGTTACAGGCATGCAGCCACCATGTCTGGTCTAGATTTATGCCATTTATCTATTTATTTAATAATCACTTTTGGTAGGAGAAGTGAACCTAGGGCCTTGCATCTTAAGCACACACTCTGCTGCTGAAGCTATACCTTCAGCCAGATTCATGGTTTTTATATTTACAGTGTACCAGAACTTATATATGTTTAAATAATGATCATTTAATCTTCAAATACCCTTAAGAAGTAGTATTATTTAATTTGCATTTTACCGATTACTAATGAGGCCAAATGTCTTTTCATGTTTCCTAGCTATTTAGATTTTTTCTTTTGTGAAGTGTCTCTTAAGCCTTTTGTACATTTATGGCTGCTGCCTCCTCTTTGTCTTCTTTTTTTCTTTTTGATTTATGGGGTTTCTTAATTTATTAATCTATAACTTAGAATAAATGTATTTGTCATATGTGTTTGTTAGCTAAAAGTGAGAAAATGTCATTTTTTATGTTTTTAAACTCTTTCACTACTACTCTTTGTTTTTTTAAATTTTATTATTCATATGTGCATACAAGGCTTGGATCATTTCTCCTCCCTGCTGCCACCCCTCCCTTACCACCCACTCCACCCCCTCCCTCTCCCCCTCACCCCCTCAATACCCAGCAGAAACTATTTTGCCCTTATTCTAATTTTGTTGTCACTATTACTCTTTGTAAAAGGATCTTGATCTTAATGTGTCAGACATAACCATCACTTCCATTGTGGTTACTGTCTTTTTTTCTGGTTTAAAAATTGTTTCCTATCCTGAGGTCATAAGGAAGTATACATTGCTGTGTTCATTTTGTGGTTGAGGAAAAAGTTCAGTGATGTCAAGTTTTAAGGTCAGACACCCAGTAAACAGTGCCCAAATTTCAAGGATACTTGTTTCAAAACAAGTGAGTGTAGGGATGCTTATTTGAGCCATGGTAAGTCATTAAACTCAGAAGATTCCTGAGAATTTTCTGAGTCATTAATCACATGTTTAAACACTTCTAAGTTGATCATTTTTTAGAAGGACAGTCAAGCTAACATTTTTCTTAAGAAATATATTGGCAAATAGACAAATGCTGAATAGTTCCATTTTTTTTTTAGCAGCAGAATTTCTTCTTTCTGATCACATATTTCCAGGCAGATTTTGCTTTTGTTTTCTCCTGTTTCTACAAAACAGATATGCAAGACACTTGTTAAAATAACATTTAGGTTTTTTTAACAAATGAAATTAAAAAAAAAAATCTTGGTAGCTTGTATTCAGTGCATGAACCCAGATTTTTGTTTGGCTTAATATAATATAGGCTACCCGTGAATTAGATATACAAGCATAGGGTGAAGAATGTGAATAATTGTTTTTTCTAAGTTTTTGCTTTAACAACATTTTTGGGTAATGAACTTTCATATTGTAATGATGGACTCAACAGAATTCAGTAATACTACTCTGGAAAATTACCTCAAAATATTTTAAATCTTTAAAAAAATGACTTCATTGTCCATTTGTTCTAACTGCTATAAAGGTAAACAATTAAATTTCAGCCCCAGAATCCGTTTGGATTTCTGCTTGTAGTGGGCCGAATCACATTCCACCAGGGAACAAGAGCACTCACAACCTTCCCTGAGTGAGGAGAGGTTTTGATTATGTTCCTTCATTGTGAGCAGGCTTCCAGGATTCATATGGGAAGTGTATCCACAAGGAATTAGAAATGGGTAGTTTTTTGACAGTATTATTTAAAAGGTTCAAAACAGATGGTAATCTGTAAATTTCACTTTGGAAGATAGTATGAAGAAATCACTATCCAGCATTCCTTGAAATTCACAAAAGAGCAAAAAAGGAACCTTTCAAACCCAATAATTTTCCAAGTTATGAGGCGATTTAAGATCTGCAAACATCACTAAAATCTCCCCCACATGTTTTTCTTCTAAGATTAATTTTTAAAAAGCACTGTCTCATAACCTGACCTGTGGTTACATGCTTATTCATTCCCTCAGTGAAGTATTGGGGACCCCTCTTCTCAATATTTGGGACACATCAGGGAATAAAGCAGAATGACTCACATTCTTCAAGGAGTCACACTTCTTGTTGAGATAGATAATAAGCAATCAGGACAGTAAGTGAAATGCCTCCTATGTCAGCAGAAGTTGAGCAGGGTGGGTGAGGAGATGTGGAGTCCTGTGGGTGGAGGTTGGGTTTTGGCAATGGATAAGGTAAGATACTTAGGGCTTTGTGTGTGTGTGTGTGTGTGTGTGTGTTTTAAACCTCTTGAGCCATGCCTCCAGTCCTTTTTGCTCTGGTTATTTTGGAGATAGTCTACCTTCTTATCTAGATGGGTCTGGACCACAGTCTTCCTACTTTAGGCTTCCCCTTACAGCTGGACAGGCACACCACCATACCAGAATTGATTGAGATGGAGTTTTGTGAACTTTTTTGCCCAGGCTGTCTTCAAACCATGATCCTCCTAATCTCAGCTTTCCAAGTAGCTGGGATTATAGGCATGAGTTACCAGTGTCTGACTCTGAGTGAAAATCTTGAAAAGCACTGTGAGAGTTAGCCGGGTGAATGTCAGGAAGGAGTTTCTCAAGCAAAGGGAAGAGTCAAGATCTCCTTGGTACAAGAAAGGCAAAGAGATCGGTGTGGGTGGAGGTTGTGAACCAGGCTGAGGGAGGTAGGAGTGAATTCAGGGTAGTGTGACCATTCCACATGGCCTGCAGGCCATTAAGAACTTGGATATTGTGTTGTGGGTTATTTAGGGAGTCTTTGGAAAATTTGAGCTTGGAAGTGATGTTAGCCATTGCCAATTTAAAAGAACTTCTCAAGCTGGTGTGTGCAAGAGACCCCTGGCAGTAGGAAGAAAGCACAGAGGCAGAGAAGACTCAGAGTGAGTGTGAAGTGATCTACTGTGCCAGCTGGTGGAGGTTCCACCAGGGATGGCAGTGGGTAAGTTGAGAAATGGACCGTTTGGATTTTGAATCTATTTGGAAGGTAGACCACTAATACATGACTCAAATACCAGAGAAACAGAGAAGAAAAGATGCATGATCCCTGCTTTGAACGGATCACTTTTATCAACATTTTATTGGAGAACATACACTGCACAAAAGGGTTTCATTGTTATATTTACACACATGCATGTAGTGTACTTTGATCTTATTGACTCCCTCTTTCTTACCCTCCCCTTTTTATGATTTAATGTGTTTCATTACTCTGTTTTCATTCGTGCATGTAATGTACTTCAATCATTCATCCTACCACCCTCTCCTTTTTTCCTTCCTCTCTTCCATTGGCTCCCCCACACCAAAAGTCCCACTTTTACATTCATGTACATTTTTCTTTTTTCTGGTTAGGTCTAGATTTCACATATGAGAGAAAATGTGACGTTTATCTTTCTACTTCTGGTTTATTTCACTTAGCATGACAATCTCCAGTTCTACCCATTTTCATACAAATGACATAATTCCACTTTTCTTTATGGCTGAATAATACCACACTGGTCATATATATGGACATTTTCTTTATCCACTCATCTGTTGATTGGCTCTAGGCTGATTCCACAGGTCAGATATTCTGAATAGTGCTGCAATAAACATGGGTGTGCAGGTATCTCTATTGTATGTTGACTTAGATTCCTTCAGATATATGCTCAACAGTGGTATAACGGGATCATATAGTTCGATTATTAGTTTTTTTAAGGAACCTCCATATTAACTTTCAAAATGGCTGTTCTAATCTACATTCACATCAAGAGTGTATAAGGGTTCCTTCTGTCCCCCTACCTTGCCCACCACCTTTCATTCTTGCTAGCATTTATTGTTGCTTATATTTTTGATGATAGCTGTTCTGACTGGGGTGAAATGGACTTTCCATGTTTTGGTTTACATTTCCTTTATGGCTAAAGATGTTGGATTTTCCTTCATTGTATTAATAGTCAATTTTACTTTTTCTTTTCTTTTTCAATTTATTTGCTCATTTATTAATTGTATTATCTGTTCCTTTGGTGCTTGATTTTTGAGCTCTTTATATATTTTGGATATTCCTTGACTGATGAATAGCTGGAAAAGATTGTCTTCCATTTTGTCTCTTTATCCTAGGGATTGATTCTTTTGATGTGCAGAAGATTTTTAATTTGATTCTATCCCATTTATCAATTCTTACTCTTACTTCCTGAGCTATTAGAGTCCTACTCAGAAAATCTTTGCCTCTGCCTATATCTTTGTGTTTTATCTGTGTTTTTCTCTAGTAGTTTCAGGTTTCATATCATACATTAAGGTCTT